GCGGCGGGCGGGAGACACCCGGCCCGGGGCATGGACTGGGGACACTGAGGCGGGGGAAGGGGATCACTACCCTATCCTCGCCTGAACCCGGACTGTAGCCCCGGGGAAACGGAGACCGAAGGTCGCGAGTGTCCCTGCGCCCAGGCGGGGCTGTGGGCTGGGCACCCAGCCCTGGCAGGACAGATGGGGAAGCTGAGGCCTGGGGAGGGAGAAAGGAGGGGCACGTCCTTTTTCAAAGGCATGGACGGACGAAAGGACCCACGCTGCCCCCACTGAGCACTAACAGGGCTTTCCTTCCACCAACCCCGACCCGGTCCTCGGTAAAAGTGCCAACCCTGGAGCCCCGCTGGACGCCTCAATTTACTCATCTATCAAAACCGGACAAAGTCAGCCCCAAACCCCTTTAGCCTTTTAGAGTTCATTCATTTCACAAATGCCCTCTGTACTTGGGGCTGGGGCTGGGTTCTCCAGACCCAGCAGTGACAAAATAGACCTCCCCCCCAGGGGGCAGGAAGAGGAGACCTCTGGAAAAGGGACTGTCAGGCTGCAAAAGTGGGAAGGGTGTGCCAGGCAGAAGGAACAATGAGTGCAAAAGCCCCGGGGCATCCAGAGTGGTCGGAGCAGGGTGACGGGAGAGCGTGGCGGGGGAGAGGACAGGCCCATGAGACTGACGGCCCTTTGGTGACAGGTTGCCAGGCTTGGTTTTTGACCTGAGAGCAATGGGAAGCCAGGGGAGGGTTTAGAATAGAGAATTAAACCTGCTCTAGAATCTAGAATCCACCCTTCATTCTGCAAGAAAAGTAGGGAACCTGAATCACGTTAAGAGACCCCACAGGGATGCAGCCCAGATGCAGCCTGGTGGAAATTGTACAGGACAAACGACTCAGCTACTTTAACAAATAGAGCGAGGGGGAAAAAGGAGAGGGGAAGGAGGAGGAACTACAACAAAATTCAAGAGGGCACACACTGTGTGACTTCATGCACACAAATGTGAAAGAGGCAAGAGAAATCAATGGCCATACCACTGAGGAGAGATGGTACCTCTGGGGAGAGTGCTTGGGTGAGGCTCCTGGGACCCGGGATGCCTGGTCTCAGGGTCCTGGCCCACAATGGCCAGCCATTCAGTAGGTGTGCTGACTCTCCAGGGTGCAGCCTGGGCTGTGCCCCTGTTCTTGGGAACTTCCAGGGAACCTATCCTCACCTTCTTAACACCCTCCAGGACCCTCTGTCCATCCCTGAGTGTTGCTGCTCCCCAGAGCCCCCAACTCCAAGGTCCAGCCACCTGCTGGACTGAGCGCTCTTCCAGGCCCATTCAACTTGGCAGCCTCCTCAAACAGCTCCTCTGTCCCCACCAAGTAAACTTGGGTCCCCTCAGCCTCACCTGTCCATCATTACCACCCCAAAAGGATTTTCCCTTTCTTTTCCGAGTTTTTAGGCAGTTGTCAAGAATACTGGTGAAGGCATGAAAAGGGTGGACAGGGAACTGTCTCCCCCTGCAGGTTCTTTGTTCTTCCTTCTTGACGTATTTGCTGCACTTTGATGTCCATGCATATTTTTCATGTCTTTCCCTCTCTAGTCCTTTTTACCCAGACACAGCGTCTTTTCTTCTGCTGTCCAGCAGCTCACATGGCCTGCTGCACGCCTCACGGGATAGTGTCTGGGGCACATTTCTGGGTGTGAGTTTGGGGATCAGCATTGTCCTTTCTTGAGGGGAGGGATAAATTAGAAGTCTGAGATGAACAGGTACATGCTACTTTTTTATGAAGTAGATAAACAACAAGGAACTCCTGTGCCTTACAGGGGACTGTGTTCAGTACCTTTTTTTGCAGGGGGGTCATTAGGTTTAGTTATTTACTTGGTTTTTCAGCGGAGGTACTGGGGATTGAACCCAGGATCTCACGCATGCATGTGCTCTACCACTTGAGCTATACCCTCCCCCCTACATTCAGTGTCCTTTAATAACCTATAATAGAAAAGAATATATGTATGTATAACTGAATCACTTTGCTGTACACCTGAAACTAACAAAACATTGTATATCAACTATCCTTCAATTTTTAAAAAATTAAAGGAAACTGTCCTTTATAAACTGCCCTCCACCTGGTTCCTGCCACCAGTAGCACAAGTGACCATGTCCCCATTGTAGGTATCGCTGCCATGCTGTTAGGTGGGAGGTGGACACTCCCTAGGGGTCTGATTTACAGCAAAGTCCCGCGGAGGTTGAGTTATTTAAAGAACAGCCATCTTCCAACCACCAGATTCCGGGCATCCCTCCCTTGCCCTGAATCTTCCTGGCTCCCCAGTGTCCTGGAACAAACTCGGGCAACATATTCAGGGTCTCTGAGGGCAGGCCTCACCGCTGGCCTGGGCCCACCCACCTGGAGCCCCAGCCCCGTGAAGGTCAAAGTCATGACCTTAACAAGCCTCATTCCCTTGTCCTGTAGCTTTGTCCCCCTGCTTTTCTTGCGAGTGAGTCTCCACGCCCCCTTACCCCACCCCGCGCTCCCCCAGCTTAAGATTTGTCCTTCTCGGGTCCACAGCGGCCTCTATGAAGCCTACCCTCCCTTCGTCTGCCCCTCACTCCAGCCGCCCCGTCTCCTCTGTGCTCTCACCCTGACCGCGCGGGAGGAGGAGGGAATGGGGGAGAAGGGTGCTGCGCGGGTGTATGGAGGGCGCGCACGCAGTGGAGGGAGTGGCCAGCGGCTGCTGGAGAATCGGGAAGGCGGGGACAAGGTGGGAAGAGGGTATAAATGCGCGGCCGCTGCAGCGCCAGCATTGGAGCCACCAAACCCAGAGGAGGTACGCTCCAGACCCGGGTGCAATCCTGGCGGGCGGCCGGGAGGAAGCAATGCGCGCCGGAGCCACATCTGAGCCCAACGTGTCCTGGTGGGCGCTGGCCAATGCATCCGGCTGCCCGGGCTGTAGCGCCAACGCCTCGGACAGCCCGGCCCCTGCGGCGTGGCCCGTCGACGCCTGGATCGTGCCGCTGTTCTTCGGCGCGTTGCTGCTGCTGGGCCTTGTAGGGAACTCGCTTGTCATCTTCGTCATCTGCCGCCACAAGCAGATGCGGACGGTGACCAACTTCTACATCGGTGAGAGCCTGGGCGCTGCGCGGTGCTTGCTGGCCAGTCCGGGGGTCGCCGCGAGGGCGGAGTGGCCGGGAGCGCCCCCTAGCGGTGCGTCGGGGCCTCCCAGCCAGGGGTCTCTCCCCGCAGGGCTCCTTGTCCTTTCCCAGTTGTCCCTGTCCCTTAGGCTAGAGGTCGGAAACCCTGGCGCTGGAGGGTTCCCTGCGGGCCGGAATAGCTAAAAGGAAGATTTAAGAGTGTGGGGCGTGGAGAGCTCGCCCCCGCCACTCAAGGAAGATGTCCGATTGAGATGTGATTCTTATAACACGGTGTCCGATGAATAAAAGGAGTGAAAGACAGCTTGGCCCTCGGCTTCTGCCGCAGAGGTTCAGCTTGCACGTCTGGGCGATGGGGGCGCCCCAGCAGGCTGAGTGCTCAGTGTTCTCCATTCTGTGTTGGCTGTTGGGCCACACCATTCCACCCAATATGCAGATAAGAATACTGAGGCTCAGAGGGGCAAGGGCCCACTCAGGCTCTCCCAGCCCGGACAGGGGTGAGCAGGGCCGTTGCTGATGGAATGGCTATGAAGCCCGTACTGGGGGTGTTTGAAATATAAAAGGGCAAGACTGGAGGGTGCCCCAACTTCTCTGCCCAAGGATGTCAGGGCCTCCCTGGGGGCCTCCTGAGCCGTCCTGCTGGTCGCTCGGACAAAGGTGAGGCCCAGGTGGCTGGGCAGGGGCGCTGGGTATCTGAGACCCATCGCCCCACATCAAGCACCCGCGCGTCCCCCCGTCGCCCACCTGCAGCCAACCTGGCGGCTACGGACTTGACGTTCCTACTGTGCTGCGTGCCCTTCACGGCTCTGCTCTACCCACTGCCTGCCTGGGTGCTGGGCGACTTCATGTGCAAGTTCCTCAACTACATCCAGCAGGTGCGCGGGCTAGGGGAGGGGTTCTGGAGCCAGGGACGTCGTCTGGGTGCAGGCGGGGCTGGACCTCCTGCAGGCAGCGCAGAGCTGTGGGCCTGGCGTGGAGGTGGGCTCCAGCTGGAGCTGGGACTAGTGGAGTCCGGACAGGGTGGGAGGGAGGACTAGGGCAATGGGGAGAGATACATTTGGGG